AGGCCCCCCAGCCCCCCACCTGCCCAGTCTCACCAGACTCCCCAGCCCTATGGTCTCTGAGATCCAGCCGTGCTTCCAGCCTCTCACAGCTGTTGGCAGGAGGACCTGGGTTTCTTGTGGCCCCGAGAGCAGTCCGGTGCCTCTGCACTTACCTGCAAGGTGCGGCCAGTGCCCCCTAGCCTGGCCCTGTGTGGGTGCCCCCTTCCCCGCTCCTCCTCCCCATCTGCAGAGCAGCCATCCCACTGCACTCCCTGTCTGTCTGAAGCTTACTTGCAGCTGTGGGGGTCCAAAGAGTGGACTTGGCTCAGAGCCAGGGTCCGACCTGGAAGAACCCTTAGACCTCAGATGGCCCCATTTTTCAGAGAAGATGAGTGGGACTCCGAGAGGAGAGGCAACTGACCTGAGGTCCCAGGATGGTGGTGCAATGAAGACACAAACCCCCTGCTTCGCTCCCAGGCCAGGCACCTTCCCCACAGCTGGGCCGGGCTGGCTGAGGCAGAGCACTCTTGGCCTGCAGCCAGCCCCTCGCCTGGTCACCTCCCCACAGCAGGTCACACAAAGGCCCGTGGCCTGTAGGGATGGGCCTCACTCACCCCACCCGTGCCGCCCATGTTACAGAAGCCGTACGCCTGTCAGATCCCTGGCTGCTCCAAGCGCTACACAGACCCCAGCTCCCTCCGCAAGCATGTCAAGGCCCATTCCGCCAAAGAGCAGCAGGTGCGTAAGAAGGTAAGCCAGCCCTCCTCATCTGGCCCCTCCCGCCTCGCAGCTGCCTGCACCGCATCAGGCCAGGTGCCCACCCTCGACACGTGCATCTGTCCACCCATTCGCCCTGTATGTCACTGTTTGTCCGTCCATTCGTCCGTCCGTCTGTCCGTCCACTTCCCACCTGCCCTGAGTGTCTCTGCTGACCCACAGCTGCCCTTTACCACCCACAGACTGCCCACCAGCTCCTCGCCCCATGCGTCTGTGCACCCCCGACAGCTTGTGTGGTAAACACATGATGTCCTGCCTTGTGCCGGGCACAGAAGATGCAGAAATGTAAAAGCACAGCCCCACTTTCAGTGGCCTGGCAGGCGAGGGCAGACACAAAGAGATGATTCCACCTCATGTCATTAAGATGGTGAGAGAGTTGTGCAGAGAAAAGTCAGGGCACAGATGAGGGGGCCTTAGCTCCTCTGGGTGGGAGCAGGAAGGTCCATGGAGGAAGTGGCATCAGGCGTGGGTGCAGTGTTGAGGGGTACGAGCGTGGAGTGGGCCCGCCGGGCTCGCCTCCGCTGGCTGTGTACCCAGGCATGTGCCTTTGGGCTTCAGATTCCTCAGCCATCAGAGGGGACAACAAAGGACTTGCTTTAGACAGCTGTGGTCAAGAGTAAATGATGGTTTATGCTGAGGGTTTAGAACTGTACCTGGCACAAATTTAAAAGTTCACAACAGAAATTGGTGTATGTGTTCACTGGTCTTGAGGAAGGACTAAGTGTTTGGCTGGTGAATTCAGAAGAACGCTCCCCAGAGTGACTGGCACTGAGCAAGGGCTGAAGCCTGACGCCTACTGTGTGCGGGACCGGTGGGCACTCCTCTCTCGGGGCCGAGCAGCACAGTGAGGAGAGGTGGTGTGGGCCGGGCTATGTCCAGGGCACAGTGGGCGCCATTGAGGGCTGTTAAGCAGAGCAGGGACATGGCATCTCGAGAGGTGACCCTGAGGGCCATGTAGAAAATGGGTTGGGGATGCTGTTTTGGACAAGCCGTGTGTGAGTTCCTGAGGGACTGGGCCATGGCAGGAGGGACAGGACTGCAGCTGGGGGCAGAGCCCACCTGGCGGGGTTAACTCACACCTGCACTCCTATGGAATTGTGGGGCCAGGGTGTGAAGGTTCTTAAGTGCCAGGGAGGGTGTGGGGGTGAAAGAAACACCAGGGGCCAACTTGGGGACACTAGCATGACAGAGGAGGACAGAGTGGGAAGATCACATTTATTGGTTCAACCAGATTTACAGAGCACCTACTGTGTTCCAAGCATTGTTCTGTGAACTGTGGACACGGCCGGGAATGAAACAGAACAGAGGCCTGCAGGCTGGAGGAAGCAGCTGCCTCAGGCCCTGGGATAGGGAGACAGCGATGGGGTGCTGGGAGCAAGCGGCCTCAGTGGGAAAGAGGATGGGAGGGGACAGCCAGGCTTGGGAAGTTGGTCTCCAGCCTACAGGCAGTGGGGAGCATTGGAAGCTGTGGAGCAGAGAGGGATGTGGTCAAAGCCTGCGCCATGAGCTTTCTGGTGAAACATCACCTCCAGGTTCCCTGAGGAAGGAGGGGATGTGCTTTAGCCCAGGTGCCTCTGCAGCTCAGGCACTGTTCCTGGGGCTTCATATCCTGTATCTCATTTAGGCCTCACTATAACCCTAGCTCCCCAGCTACTCAGGAGGGTGAGGTGGGAGGATCACTTGAGCCCAGGAGCTGGACTGCACACCAGCCTGAGCGACAGAGCAAGACTGTCTCAAAAAAAAGAAAAAGAAAGAAAGAAAGCACAACCGTAGGTGTGGGCACTGTTTTTAATTCCCATTTTATTTTATTTTTAGAAACAAAGTCTCACTCTGTCATCCAGGCTGGAGTACAGTGGCATCATCATGGCTCATGGCAGCCTCCAATTCCTGGGCTCAAGTGATCCTCCTGCCTCAGCCTCCTGAGTAGCTGGGACTAGAGGCATGCTCCACTGCTCCTGGCTTTTTTTTTTTTTTTTTTTTAATTTTTTTTTGTAGAGACAGAGGTTTCACTTTGTTGTCCAGACTGGTTTCAAACTCCTGACTTCAAGCAATCCTCCCAGTTTGGCCTCCCAAAATTTGGGGACTAGAGTCATGAAACACTCATTTTAGAGATGGAGAAACTAAGGCTCAGAAAGTTAACAAACCAGCCCAGCATCATGCACCCCAGAAGTGCCAGAGCCAGAATCCATCCCAGACCTGTCTGCTTCCAGGGCCTGAGGTCCGTTCACTGCTCTCAGGTTGAGGGCCTGAGTGGGGACAGGGAATGGCCCAGGCTCCAGTAGGCTGGAGCGCCTGTCCCAGGCAGACCACAATCCTGTCCTGGCTTTCCCAGGCCCCATGCTTGGCTCGCACTGAGCCCCTGGGGACTTGGGGCCACAGATCTGCAAACTTTCCAACAATAAGCATCCATTAAGAGCCATCAGGGATGATGTATCTTTCTGGGTAAAGCTACCCTTGTATTATGACAAGTCCTTGGCAGCCCTGCTGCGTTTCAGAGAGAATTAGAAATGCTTTTCTTCCTTAATTCTCCTCTCCTGCTGCTCCTAATCCGATCGACATTGCGGTCTACAAGAACATGCCTTGGCTCTCTTTTGCCAGAAACTTAATTTACATGGAAAACAGCTGCTGGGTCAGGAAGCCGAGAGCCCATCTTGAGGCTGGGCACGCCTTCTCCAAGCCTGGGCCTGGCCCTGCTGGCCTGGGAGGGCAGAAAAGCTCTCAGCTGCTGTGTGATGTGGGGCAGGGCTCTCACCTTCTCTGGGTCTGTTTTGTCCTGGAGAAGAAGAGCATTTGGATGAGCCAAGCTTTCAGATTTCCCTGAGAGAAGCGCCCTTCCCATCCAGGTGCCTGCCCCAGTCATCGCCCAGTGTCCTGAAGGCCTCACCCTGTTCCCATTCTGGCTGTGGAAGATGTTCTGAGGTGACTGTCTGGAAACAGCCAAGGGTTGTTGGCCAAAGATTTGCTTGGGTTACTGGGTGCACCCCAGCCCAGGCTTGCCCTTAGCCAAGGGACCTCAAGTCCATATACGGATCCATCGTGCCCATGACGGGGTGACCAGATGGGGCTCGGCCAGCTGGAGCTCAGCCAGCCCTACCACAGCACTTCCAAAGCATGCCCCCAGCCATCGCCTCATTACTCCTTATGGCCTGGGGTGAGGCGTGACTGTTGCTGCTTATTACAGGCTGGGTAGGCAAGACCCAAAGAGGTTATTTGTCCAGCATTACACAGAGAGTAAGAAGAGGTGGGATGGGATCCGAGCCCAGCTCTTCATCCCTAGCCCTGAACTATTTCCACTGAACCTTGTACCAAGAAGGAAGGAAGAGCTGGGGCGGGGTTGGGGGAGGCTGACTGCACATCTATTGCGCTTTACTCATACCGTGTCCGTTCACCGGCGTGGCTGCACAGAATGCACCTGTAGACCTCAGCTACCCATGGGAGGCCCCACTGCTGCACTTTGCCACCATTCTGTGTATGTGTTGAGGCCCCACCTGCCACAGGCTGCTCCCAGCAATGACTGAGTGTGGCAGGCCTAGCAGGGACACTGAGGCAGAGCCTTCCTAAGAGGCGCTGGACTCCCTGACATCCAGCAGACCTTGACTGCTGAGGACTCCCTGAGTCCCTGTCCTGGAGGCTCCCGCCTGACCCCTTCTCCCTGCCTCCCTCTCTCAGTCCCTGGGCTCTCCCAGCCCGTCCAGTTCACAGATGGCACATCTCCCATTTAAATCCTTGCATGTTGAATCCCACCATGGCATCTGCTTCTCAAAGGACCTGGACTAACACCGTCTTCACGATGTACACAGTCAGCCCATTTCACAGATGGGGAACTGAGGCACAGTGAAGGGAAGGGTCTTGCCCTGGGGCTGCAGTCCTTTCTGCCCTGTCCCCTAACGGGAGGGTTGCTGGTGGGCAGGGGTCTCACACTAACACCTCCTTTCCCTCTGCTTGCTCCCCAGCTGCACGCAGGCCCTGACGCGGAGGCCGACGTCCTGACCGAGTGTCTGGCCCTGCAGCAGCTCCACGCGTCCACACAGCTGGCTGCCAGCGACGGCAAGGGTGGCTGTGGCCTGGGCCAGGAGCTGCTCCCAGGTACGTGTGCAGGGAGGCAGGGCCAGGGGCATAGCCCAGGAGGGGCCTTTCTCTGCCCACAGTCAAGGACAAGTGATGCTCAGTGGGCCGCCCACATGGGCTTGACTTGTTGTAGGCACTCACTCATCTGGACTCGGCTGCCTCTGCCTCTGGCTCCCTACTTCCAATCCATCTTCTCCCTGTGGCTCCTCTAACTAGGCGGACGTTCCTTCACATTCTTCTGTGGTTCCCCGTTGCTCAGAGAATGAAGCCCTCACCCCTCTCAGCCTGGCCTTCAAGGGGTATGGGGCCTGGGTCCTCCTGGCAGCCTCTTGCCTCCTCCTTGGCGTGTTGGATGCAGTTCCCTGAACACGCTCTGCTCCTGCTCCCACCACCCCTGGGCACTGTCTACACCCAGCCAGCCCTCTTCTCCCACCCTTCATGAAGGTAGCTCCTGCCCTTCCTTCAGGACCCACCTCCTTGCCCCCTCCTCCAGGAAGTCTTCCTGTGGGCTTCACTCTGCCCCAGTGCTGAGCACTCTGAGCTGTCACTCTGCTTCCCATCTGCCCATCTGTCTCCCCCACCAGACTGTGAGTTCCTCAAGGGAGGCCCATGGTCTGCCTCATTCTGGGGTCACCAGCACCCAGGATGGGGACATGTGCAGAGCCAGGCTGGGGGAACCCACGGCGCTGCCCCGAGCATCCTCAAGAGAGGCTCTGGTGCCCTTGCTGATGGTCCACGCTGCCAGGATCATCTGCAGGGAGGAACCGTCTTCAAGAAGAGCCCATGCTGCCCCTGTTCTTGACTCCTGCTCCAGAGGAGAAAACTGAGGCTCTGAGAGGATAGGAACTTAGCCCAAATCACTTCCAGCTCATTGCTAAACTCTGTGGCCCAGAGATGGGGTCCCCAGAGCCCCTGGGACTCTGCAGGCCCCTCCAACCAGACGCTAAGGGCCTTTGGTCCAGCTGAGGTGGCCTGTCTCTCCCTCCCAGCAGCTGTGGGACATGGGGCAGGTCTCAGGCCACAGCAGGAATTCCTGGCTTTGAGGCTTGGGCATCCAGCCCAGATAAGGGCAGCATGGCCTTTGGATTCCATCTGACAGTACTTGTGCTCTACCCCTGACTCCCCTAAAGAAACCACAATATCAGAGCAGAAAGCTCTGCCCACCCGCTGGGATTTCTTGAATTACTCCAACCATTTTAAACATTTTTTATTTTCTAATTTTTTATTCTTTCCCCTGAATGTTGAAGTAGCAACAGATTTAAAAATATATCAAAGCACTTGCCAAACAGCCTCAGGAAGAAAAGCCTTTTCGCCTTTCTCATGGGTCCCCCTTTCCAGGGGTCTGTGCTCAGGCAGGTCCACGAGGGTGAGGACACAGGCGGATGGGTGCCTGGGGGAGGGTCTATACCCTCCTCACGTCTAGCTAGAGGACCCCTCTGCGTGGCTGCTTCTCACAGGGTCAGAATTGCTAAAATGACAGGGCTGGAAGGGACCGGGGGGCTGATCCAACCCAGGGACGAAGGTATCTCAAGTGCCAGCTCCTAATAAACGGTCATGACAGTGACCACTTGGAGCTCCGTGTTGAGAAGGCCTCGGAAGCTGCTTCCCGATTCAGCCAGAAAGAAAGCTGCCGCAGAGGAGCATTGCTGCCCCCAGTGCAAAGGTCTTGTGCCTACCCCATCAGTTTCACCTTGGGAAGACTCAGGCCTGGGCAGGAGAAGGAGTCACCTAAAGTCATCCAGAGAAGTCAGCAGCCAGTCCAGGCTGCAAGCTTGTTCTCCCAGATGCCAGCCTCAGGCTTGTCCCAGCGAGAAGGGACAGGGCCAGCAGTTGCCATCTCTCGAGCACCTGCTTGGGCCTCTGACTTCACAAATACCCTCTCATTCAGTCCCCAACTACGCTGTGCAGTAGGATGTGAACCCACGCTACTGAGGAGAAACAGGGTCAACTGAGGCCCCATCATCACAGGTTGGAGGAGCCACTCCTGCTGAAGCTGCTGCCCTTGCTCTGTGACATTAAGTGGTGTCTTCCTGCTTTGAGCCTCAGTTTCGCTCCCAGGCACTGAGGGATCTCATTTGCTATGAGAACAAATGTGATCATGGATGCGGTCACTTATATAAACCCTATGTGACTGAGCATCTTACTGTTATTGTAGTTCATGGTGAGCAAGAAGAATGACTATATACTCATCCACCTTACAATCATGCACAGCCAGCACATATTGACTGTGCCAGGCGCTGCTCCAGGGACTGTGCGTGGACATCACTGCCATCGTCCTCACATCGGCCTCAGAAGGCACACGCAAGCCACAGCCAGCAGGGGCAGAGGCAGGATTGGAACCCAGACCATCTGTGCAGGCTGTCCTCTTAACCAGAGCCCGTACCTCCCTGCTGCTAGTGCTGCTTCTCTTCTATACTGAGCACCCGTCCTGGAGCTGCTTCCAATGCAGCGAGGAGGGCAGGACCAGCCAGGTGAAGCCCAGGGTCCTAGATGCCCCAGGATCTGGCCTGCTGGGTTCTTCTGCAGGCCGCAGGGCAGATGGCTGAGAGGGGAACAGATGTTAGGGCCAGAGGTTACACGCTCATGGCTGATGATTGATGACACAGCTTTACAGCCTGAAGTGGTGCGTTTTGGGGAGAGCCCATCAGGTCCCGTGGCATCCCCACTTCCGCTGCCCCTCGCAATCCCGTGGTTCCTTCATTCCCATCTGCTGTTCACTGACATGGTCGGCATCTCTAGTTCACACACTCGGTCACCCACCTTGTGTCTGTCCTTGGTGTGGAGACTGGACAGGCAGGGACCTGGCCCTGGGTCAGGGGCAAGGACAGGGGACTAAGGGAGGATTCGCAGAGTCCAGAACAGAGGGGAGAGGGTGAGGGATGGGCTGCAGAGGGAGACACCAAATTTCCATTGTCCAATTGCAGGACGCTCCCTCCAGTAGGGACCAGCTCTATCCTGCGCGGGAGACCCCCCGCCCAACCCCTGGGAGCTTATCTGCCAGGCCCATCCTGAGCAGATCCACGGTAATGTGATGGGCAGTGAGGACTTGAGAAGCACGAGGTCAGCATGGCTGAGGGAGAAGGTGCAGGATTGATCAGGGTTCTAAGCCTTCCCAGCTGTCAGGCCCCCAAATTGGTTCAAGATGGCAGGCGAAGAGGTGCTAGGGAGAGTGGTGAGTGGCTCAAACCGTGGGCAGCTCCTCGCCAGGCTCCCTCCACAGACACTGCTTGAGGCGCCTTCCCCCAGCTGGGGAGGGAGGCAGTGGCTGGACAGACAGGTGGTGCTACGCCTGGGAGCAGAGTCCCAGAGGCAGGGAGCAGTAAGGACGGCAGCCCAGAGCCCCCGGGTCTCACAGCAGCCAGCAGTGACGCCTGTCCCAGAGCCGAGGCCTCAATCGGGTATCCAGCCCATCACCTGAGCTGGAGCCACTCCTAGCCAGGGCCTCAAGTGGACTTTCTCTCCCCGCTGCTTGGAAGATGGGCCTGATGAGCCGCCTACTCTGTGACTTTGGACCAGTTGTTCAACTTGTTAATATTTAGTTTCCTCATCTTAAAATGGAATATATTATCTTCCCCACTGACATTTGTCAAGCTGGTTAAACTAGATAATGTGGACAGTTTGGCACATAGTATGTTTTTAATTAATGGTAATTATTTTGATAGTAGACTCTCACATGATGTAACGTAACGTAGGGTGCTTGCAGCTCTAACTCCAGGCCGGGAGTTGCAAACTGTTTGGTCTCATAGGCACAGGGGCACTTTTTGCTTGTTGTTGTTTTGTTGTTTTGTTCTGAGACGGAGTTGCCCAGGCTGGAGTGCAGTGGCACCATCTCGGCTCACCGCAACCTCCGCCTTTCGGGTTTAAGCCATTCTTCTGCCTCAGCCTCCCAGGTAGCTGGGACTACAGGTGCACGACACCACGCCCAGCTATTTTTTGTATTTTTAGTAGAGACAGGGTTTCACCATGTTGGCCAGGCTGGTCTCGAATTCCCGGTCTTAAGTGATCCTCCCACCTCGGCCTCCCAAAGCGCTGGGATTACAGGCTTGTTTTGTTTGTTTGTTTTTAACGGTTTCCATGTGAAGGTCTTTCTGGGATGTGTGCTCTCCCCTTTGCCACAGGCCCCGCTGCGCCCCTCATTAATCTGTGCAGTTTCATTTATTTTGCTCCCTGCCATGCTGTCTGAGGCACTGAGCTTGCTGTCCCTGCCACAGCCCTGCTCCATTCCCTGCAGCAGCCTCCTGAATTGTAGGTCTGGGCCAAAGGGGCGAGCCTGGGATGAGCTAGCCTTGGAATCCCAACCAAATGAGAAGGTAAAAATTTCCCTTACCCCATCCATGAAAGGAGACTGGTGTATTCTCAGATTGGTCCTTATGGTGTAATAAGAGCACTGGTCTGGATCCATGGTAACCAGAGTGCTATTCAACATGTTAACAGCTGCCCTGGTGCACACTGGCCAACACCACATCAGTGCAGCCCCGGGCTAGCCCCCAGGTCACACAGAGTCCATGAGTGCAGCCCCGGGCCAGTCCCCAGGTCACACAGAGTCCATGAGTGCAGCCCTGGGCCAGTCCCCAGGTCACACAGAGTCCTCCCAGGGCATCTGCTGGATGCATGGACTGCAAAGAAAATGATGTCAATTGCTGTTAAAATAAACATGGCCAGATTGAAGACGGGATGCAAAACTGGCCACTCCCTAGAGAGATGAGCCCCAGAGAAGCCACAGCAAGGCTCAAGAAGGCCTGGGCTCCATTCTGGGTGTGGTGGCCTGGAATGCAGGCCTTTCATTCATCATTTTTTTTTTTTTAAAGATAAAATAGGGAACATCAAAAACTTACAACTCTTGCTGTGTCTTTCCTAGGCTCCAGTCCCAGAGTAGGAGTTTATTTCCTACTCCGATTAGGGTTTCTTGGTGAAGGCATTTGGGGAGTGCTGGGTTCACCAACTCCAAACGGGCCCCTGGAGCAACATCTGACTGTGACCTAGTGTCCCCCATTGATTTATTAGCCTCCCTGTCTTAACAAGGGGAGGACTCTAGGGGGTAAAAGGTGATAAAAAGTGGCATCACCCTGCAGGTGTCTTCTGAAGGTTTAGAATCTGAGACTAGAATGTGGCTGACTCCTCTCCTCAGTTGGGACCCTTGTTCAGTACACAGCCCATACAACCACCCATGGCAGCCCTTCTCAGAGGTCTCCCAAGCCAGGTGCCACCCAGCTAGTGCAGTCATCTCTCTTTGGAAGCCTTTACAGTGGACACCCCAGCTCTGCTTGCATATCTCTGGGGGAGGTAGTTATTCTGTGCAAGGGCAGCCCATTGCCCTGCAGCAGCACTGCCTGTTAGAAGGCACTGCGGTGCCCTGGGCTGCTGTCTGCTCTCAAGCTTCTCTCCATTCCTGGGTCTCTGCTTCCAGGACTACATGGAACAAGCCCCTTCTTTTCCAGAACAGCACCACAGAGATTTGAGGCAGCCTGCCCTATACATGCTCCCATCTGAAAACACACACACACACACACACACACACACACACACACACACCCTGAGCACCCCGTGCCTCTGACAGCCCCTTGCCAGTCCACCTCTGCTATCAGGGTGAACCCCAGCCCTGGACACAGCCCTTTAGCCGCCGGGGTCTGCAGGGCTGAACTGAGTGGAGTGGGGCCAGTACCTCCCTTACTGGGGCTCCTAAACTTCCAGTGATACAACGTTGCTCATTTTCCCTCTTGTCTTTCTTTCTCTATCATCAGGCACACACAGCTCCTGGGCCATCACAGCCATCTCTAGGGAGTGCCCAGAGGCCAGTGAGCCTTGTTTTATTCCCTGCAGGTGTGTATCCTGGCTCCATCACCCCCCATAATGGACTTGCATCAGGCCTCCTGCCCCCAGCGCACGATGTACCTTCTAGGCACCACCCACTGGATGCCACCACCAGTTCCCACCACCATCTGTCCCCTCTGCCCATGGCTGAGGGCACCCGGGATGGGTATGTACACCAGGCCAGTCCTCTTGGGGCAGCAAGGGGGGCTCTGGGGGGGAGGCAGGGAAGGCAAGTGTCCCGCACTATCTATCTGCTTGTTACTGATAATGAAAATAGCCAACCTTCAGGGAACACTGACTGCGGATTGCATTCCACACACTTTCTGTGCATGATTCCATTGGTGCCTGCGGTAACCCTGAGTAGACAGTATTGGCTTCTGAATGCCTCATTCCGTGCAGTCCCTCCTCCCCACTGGAGGACCCTGGGAAAGCGCTGTGGCCCCTCCCAGCGACCCCTGCATTCTGGGCTGCCACACCCAGAATGGAACCCAGGCCTCCTCAGGGCCTCACTCTGGCGTCTCCTTGGCTCATCTGTGCATTTGGGAGCAGACTGCCCACGGCGTGCACTCCACAGATGCTGGTCTGGGCCCCACACCCATCTCCAGCCACTGCAGCTGTGACACTGCCCGACCTGCGGGGACTGTCTGGGAGCCTTTACTTCTGGATCACTGCGGAGAGAGGCAGCCTCTTCCTGCACCCAATGTGGTTCTCATTGTGGCCACTTAATTGACTGGAAATGGTGAATGTGTTCATTGCTGGACCATCATCTGCCAAAATCTGTTTTTCTTGCAAATGAGCAGAGGGGATGCCTCACAGCCCCGCCCTCCTGCCCTCCCTGCTGTTTTTTGCTGATCACCTTGTCCCTGCAGACCTGGCCCCAGCACCTTCCCCCTTCCCTGCCCTTCCTCCTCCTGGCTGCAGCCTTGGCCTTGGCCTGCCTGTGCCTGGGGCCAGCCTGGCTTCGTCGCCACATTTGTGGCCCACTGCTCCTATTATTACTGGGCTCCTTCTGCCGTTCATTCACCCATTCATTTGGTGTTCAATTATGGAGCCCCTGTGGGCAGGCCCTGGGCCCAGTGCTGGGGCTGCGGATGACTCTGGCCCTGGAGATGCTTACTGTGAGAGGGAGACCGACCACACAGGGGGCCAGTGGTGTGCGGCAAGGAAGCAGAAGGGCTGTGGAGCCCAGAGGAGAGCCCAGTGGGGTGTGGCTGCCGGGAGGATATTAGGGAAGGCTTCCTGGAGGAGGTGAGGCTAAGCCAGACCTCCAAGGTGAGGCTGGAGTTGGATGAGTGGAGAGGCTGGGAGGAAGGAGTAGCAAGAATGAAGGTAGGCATGGTGAGAACTTGGGGTGTTCTGGGAAACGTGAATCATCATGTGGGGTGACGAACTTGGGAGAGATGTCACCAGGTCCAGATCCCAAGGCCTGAGATGAGACTCAACCTGAAGAGTGTTGAGCGGTGATGTGCTCAGGTTTGGGGATGAGGACGCAGGGCAGCATTGCAAGGGTGGGGTGGACTGTGGGGTGCTGGATGGATGGGATCCCGAGCCAGGGCCTGGTTCAGGCTGGGGAGGGGGAGGCCGGAAGGCAGTGGAAGGCAATGGTGGCACAGAGGCAGCGGGAGTGGGAAACCCGAGCTGGGAAGGGAGAGGAGGGGGCCTCAGGGATGAGTTGAGGGTACAGAGGGGCTGCTGACAGGCAGGGGAAGATTGCGGCTGTGAGTGTGAGCAGAGAGCCATGAAGAGGCAGCCTGAAGGGGCTGCACAGGGGGACCCAGAACACCAGGCCCTCGAGCCTCAGCTGCGGCTTCTGTGAAAGGCATTAGAAGGCACTCCCTGAGGAAGGTGGTGAGGGCCGTACACACGCCTGACACTGTGTACCTCACCTGGCACAGGCTCCACTACGATGGTCCCCGCCCCCACCCATACCTGCTCAGGCCACCTGCTCACCCACCAACCAACTGAAAAACATCTCCAACCAAAGGAAAATAAACCACGAAGGCCGCTCGCTGCTCGGGCCCGTGCACTCTGCTCCGCCTCATTCATCACCTGCCTGCCGCCTGCGTAAGTGCCCGTCAAGAATTCTGCAGCGAGAAGCAGAGTGATGACAAGACGGGACCCCCGCCTGCCCACCCCTGCCTGCGGGTAGGAGCCTCGGGTCCAGCTGCAGGAGAGAAGCATCCTCGTGCCTGACACCAGGTCCAGGCCCAGCGTGAATGGGTTTCTTTTTTCATCCCCTGAGAAGAGAGTGGGGAAAGGGCCTTCAGCCTCCACTTCCTGCCAAAGTCAACAAGGAACGGCCACTCGTGGCTCCCCAGTGGTTTGCTGGGACGTTTAAATAGCTTGACAGAATTATCTGATTCACTCGAAAATATGCTAAGAGGGCCTGACTTCATGACCAAATTTATTTACCCTGGCTCAGAGAAGACGCCGAATAGGGTATTTTTTTTTCCCAGCCTTGTGCGAGGTATGAAGCCCTCGGTCTGCCAGGCCAGTGAGGTTTTATATTAATTTTTATAGGTTCCAGTTGAAGCAAAAATATTTGATTTAGGAATCATTTGCATGACTCAGAGGAGGAGCTCCAAAAGATGTTTTTTGCCTTTTAAAGAGTTCAGGTAGAGCAGCACAGCCTCAGGCGTCATGTCTGCTGTGGACAGAGTTGTGTTCTGTTCAATTTCACTGGCTGTGAAGGTGGCAAATGTGAATTTATGGTGGAGTGAGACAGGAAAAACAAACTTTTGAAAACGCATGTTTTTTCCCCTTCATATCTGGTTCATCTTAATCCTGCAATGCCGTTAATCTCTGGGGTTTGTAGTTGAGAAATTCAGAAACTCATTTATTAGTGTCATCGGTTGTTCGCTGTGTGCCAGGCCCAGCGCTGGGCACCGGGTGACCAAGAAGGACTAAGACCTGGTGCTCCCTACGGGGGCTCTAGGAAACCAGGGGAGGGCTGAGTTGTGGGTGCCCAGATGGGATGAGGATAAGGCAGCCACCACACAGCAAGCCTGCAGGAAGGAGGAACTACTCCCGGGCCAGGCCCTGGCCCAGCATCAGCCAGGAGAACTGGTCATAAGAACACACAGCTTGTGCACAGCTGTCCACAGTTCCTAGTGCATAGAGGAGGACGCTGTCCCACTGGATCACCCCATAAGACAGGCCTAAAAATAATGACGATAATGATAATTTATTCCTGGAGGTGTGATGAGGATTTGGCTCATGAACTTAAAACAGTGACAGGGATCCAACAGTGTGTTAGTGGCTGGGCCAGGGACCCAGCACCAAGGCCTTGCTTCGCCTGTCCTCAGAGAGCTCACAGTCACGGGGGCCCCACACAGATGGATGACGACAGCAGACTGGAGGGGCAGTCAAGGGGCTGCCAATGTTGGAGGGGCAGAGGGGAACTTGGCATGGCACAGATGCGGAGACACCAGCCTCTCTCCAAATCCACTTTCCCCATTTCCAGATAGCCCTGCTTCCTTCAGAGAGGCACTGATCTGTTAACACTTGGTGTCTCAGAGGGTGGGCAAGGGTCATGAGGTCACCTGGAGCTGTGACATTGAATTCGCTGTGTATTTTTATGTGGATGGTCCAGCAAGCCACAAATCCAGACAAGAAAATGGGGACTCTGAGCTCTCACTGTCTCCCTCTTTCTGCCATGCACATAAATGCTTTACAAGCTGTGAGCCTTCAGCCTTGTCCCCAGAGCCCCCAAGCCGTTGAACCCAAAGTCATTTTAGCCCCTGTGAACGGGGCCCAGGGACTTAGGAAGGTAGCGTGAGAAGGGAACCTGGCCTGCAGTCCAGGTAGTGGGCCCCCGAGCAGGGCTGGGCTCAGGGCACCTGTGCCGCTGTCAGCCACTGCAGTCTTGTTTCAGAACATGAGCTTCCAGAGTGCACAGTCTAGAGCCTGCATCCCTCAGGCCCTGTATGAAGGCAACTGGTGAACCCCCCATCGCAGGAGGTGTGCAAGTGGAGGAGAGATGGCCAGGGTTGGAAACAGGAGACGGTTCCTTAGAGTACACTGTGCAGGAAAAAAAATGCCAACTTGGCCATGGGACTGACTTGCTAGTTTTTCTTTCCTTCCTCTTCATAATGATGATGATGATTGATGGAGTGGCTAAGAATGTATCGGACATCACACTTTGTCTACATTGCTTTAATGTCACCCTCACTGTAACCCCTGAGGTCAGTGCTGTGTGGCTGGGAGTAACTTGGGCAAACCTCTCTGAGCCTTGGTTTTCTGGTCTGCAAAAAGGACACAAGAACACCTGTCTCCCGGGGCCTGGAGCAAGTCAGGGGCTCAGTGGATGCTGACTGTGAGTGCCATGGGCTGCTCCAGGGCTCCTCATCCAGGTGGCCAGAGTGGCGTGCACGAGGCAGAGAGCCGGGCACCCAGCAGGTAATGAACGCTGCAGCGTGCCCGGTGATGAGCCAGCAGTCCTTTCAGGAAACCAAGGCTCAGAGATATTAAGCAACTTGCCCAAAATAGTTGGCCAGTGAGAGCAATGAGGGGTGCGAACACAGTTCTCTAAGCTGGAAAGGTTGCGCCTCTTACCCAGATCCTTGCTGACTCTCCTAAATACCAGACTCCAAAGCTTACAGGACTGAAAAGTTTGGCTTGAACATGACCAAAAATAAAAGCTCCTCTTCTAACTATTGTAAGTCGGAGCAGGTCAGTGGTGAGTGGGCTCCCCGTTGCTGGAGGGGAGTAAGCCACAGCAGCCCTGCCTCTGGCCCCCACCCTCCACACCCCTGCCTGCTGACGGGCATCTCTGTTCTCTCCAGGTTGGGGCCCGGCCTCCTCTCACCCATAGTCAGCCCCCCGAAGGGGCTCGGGCCACCGCCGTTGCCCCCGTCCTCTCAGAGCCATTCTCCTGGGGGCCAGCCCTTCTCCACACTCCCCAGCAAGCCGTCCTACCCACCCTTCCAGAGCCCTCCGCCCCCGCCTCTGCCCAGCCCACAAGGTAAGCTCTGGCCAGGGGCCCGCTCCGTATAACCCCCGATTCCCACTCAGAGACCCCAGAGCAACGAGGAGACAGCGGCCTAGTCGGGGAGGCAGGTTCTCGGAGAATGACTGACTGGGCACTGGGGGCTGAGAGAAGCTGGGAGACGGGACATAAGAGGCCCAGCTGGGGGCATGGCCTGGAGAAAACTGGTTCTGAGAGTGAGGAAGAGCGTGTTCCGGGCAAGGCGGCAAAGGCCCGCTGCCCCGAGGAGAGGCCAGTGAGCGGGAGTGAGCGCGAGAGTGGAGGGAGTAGGCATCAGCCATGGGTGACTCAGGAGCAGCCACGTGAGACCATCTCAGCCACCCCTCGCCTGCCCTCCCCTCCCTGCAGGGCAGAGCTGAGAATGCCCCAGCCTCCTGCACCTTCTCTGCCCTGGGCCTCCTCTCTCTCTCTCACACCCACAATGCCTGGACAGGACAACACGGGAGGTGCAGCGTGCTGCAAGGATGTTCCCCTCCCTGCCCTGGGCACTTCTCCTTTGTGAACGCGGCCCCTGCCACCCCCATCTGCAGGTTACCAGGGCAGTTTCCACTCCATCCAGAGTTGCTTCCCCTATGGCGACTGCTACCGGATGGCCGAACCAGCAGCCGGCGGGGACGGACTGGTCGGGGAGACACATGGTTTCAACCCCCTGCGGCCCAATGGCTACCACAGCCTTAGCACGCCCTTGCCTGCCACAGGTGAGCCCTGCCTGCGTGGCTCCTGGTCCTGGGCACCTGCATACACACTGTCCTGCAGTCTTTGGATGCTTCTGTGGTGGGGCCATCCCCACTTTACAGAGGGGGAAGTACAGGCTCAGAGAGGTCCCAGGACCCCGCAGAACTGTCTGTACCTGCCTGACTGGAAAGTGCATGCTCCTTCCACAGCTTTGCGAGCCTTATGTGTGTCTAATGCTGACAGGTTTCTGAAGAATCGGACTGGGAGCTCATGGTTTAATTACTGCTCCTCTTTATTTACTGAGCACCTACTGTGTGCCAGGCATAGCTGCAGACCCTGGGGATGTAGCAGGGAATGAACAAATCCTGGTCTCCCTTTGGCAGCAGAGGAGACTAGGTGGGGACAGAGCCTAGACGTTGTGCTGTTCCTTCCCTGCATTGGTACCTGGTGCTGCCCTGCAGGGCCCTGGGCCTCCCCAGCTCTGCCCCAGGCTTGGCTAGAGAAGCCCGGGGAGGGGGAGGGTGCCCACAGCCCAGGCGGAACCGGGCTCAGATCAGCGGGGCAGGCCTAGTCAGAGCAGGGGCATCAGAAGGGAGGGGCTAGGCCCTCCCTGAATTCCTGGAGCTGAGACCCACCCTCAAAACAGCCTTGGGGCCCAGGTCTAACAGGTTTCCGGGGCTCCAACAAAGGGGAACCTGAGACCCTCCGCAAGAGGCGGGTCAGCTTTTGGGGCAGCTTTGATTGCATAAGCGTGAGCGGGAGGGTGGAGGGACAGGCATATAGGGACAAGTGCTGAGGCCTCAGCTGGGTACATACCACCCTGTGGGTCCATGTCCACACACCTGCGCCCGTGCCAGGTGTCTGTGTGTGCCGTGCTTGCAGGGCTGGCACAGGTGGCTCTGGGCAGCGTGCACTCCGTGAGTGTCAGGAGCTGGCAGGGCTGCACTCTTGTGTCCGCACACATGTGTTACCCCAGGTTTATGCAGATGTCCGTGCGCCCCGTCTGTGTGCACATCATGTCACCCACCCCATGACTCATGGCCGTTGCCACAGACGCGTGCTTGTGTGCACGTGTGCACCTGTGTTTGAGGACCGTGCCCACAGGCCTGTGGGTAAACATGTGCCGTGTCCATGCGAGATAGACGTATGTGCATGTCCCCCTGCGTGACGTGGGGCCCACATGGAAGATGGGTGCTCTGTGTCTGTGTATACCCGAATTGAGGTGCCCAGCACTGTGGGCTCTCCCCATCTTGTCCTCCCCACCCTGATCCAGCCCGCATGGGATTTCTCAGCTGAGCAGCAAGGCTTAGAATGAAGAGCTCTGAATGGAGCGGGAGGCAGCTTCCACGCCCCGCCCCTACACCGGCCAGGGAAGGTTCTTTCAGCCTCCCCTCTCCCCGGTGTCCACTGCAGGCCTGCTTAGCGGCCTTCTGCCCACACCTCCCTGGTCAAGCAAAAATCACACACAGAGCACAGAGCATTAAATTCAGACTGACAAGCTTCAGGGGCTGCAGGCCTCAGAACAGTTCAGCCCAACCCCACTGCATAGACTGAGGCTCACCTGTCTTAGGCCACACAAACGCGTGACAGCAGCTCATTGGCAGGCCTTTAGGGCAGGGGCTGGAGAAGATGACCCCTCCCGCCCCTCCCAAGTCAAGAGCCTCTGAGTGGTGGCCCCACCCTGGAGACAGCATGTCCAGTGGAAGAGCCAGGTACCTCTGGAGCCAGACGGACCTGGATTCAATCCCAGCTCCCCTCCTTACTCACACTGACCTCAGGCAAGCATCCTGGCCTCTGGGCCTGCCTTCTCAGCTATAGAACGGGGAGGATAGTGCATCCACCGCATGGGAGCGTTGTAGAGCCGAAGCGAAGCAAGCTGAAATGGGCACTTACTAAGTGCCCAGTAAATGCTGGTGCCCTTCTTTGGGTTTCTTGAGTCTGGTTCGGGGATGCAGCTGAAAGGGTGGGGCTGAGCCGGTCCTTCTACCAGGAGGGGACCAGCCCCTGAGGGCAAGGGCTGAGCTGCTCCTACCCTACCCCTCTCCTTCCCCCACATTCTGCCCCACAGCCCAGCCCTGGTGATGGACCTGTGCCTGTCCCCTCAGCTGCCTGTCTCCCCAGGGTGTCAGCCCCATGCCTGTCTCCCCAACTGCCCTGGGCCCCCTGGGTATGCCAGGCCCAGGGTGCCTCCCAAGCCCTCACCCCACCCCAGCCACCAGCTCCCCCATTTGGAAAAGTTGGGGGCTCCAAGCAGGCCCCACCGATGGGACACTGTGAGCGGGGACCCTGGGCAGGCGGGGTGGGGCCTGGGAACTGGGAAGCATGAGCAGGCACGGCCCCTGCTGTCTCCAGCGCTGACCCTTTCCCACCCACTCACAGGATATGAGGCCCTGGCTGAGGCCTCATGCCCCACAGCGCTGCCACAGCAGCCATCTGAACCTGTGGTGTCCAGCGGCCCCGAGGACTGTGGCTTCTTCCCCAATGGAGCCTTTGACCACTGCCTGGGCCACATCCCCTCCATCTACACAGACACCTGAAGGAGCCCCCACATGCGCCTGCCCGTCCAGCACTGCAGATGCCACCTTGCCACCTGCTGCCGCTCCCACCCTCCGTGCACCCAGCGGGAGTGCCAGGCCACAGCCAGAACAGCCAGGCCAAGACCCAGGGAAGCCAGTGCTGCCACACCACCCAGCGCTGCCAGGGAGCCACCCATCCGAGCCCGCGCTGGGCACACAGAGGTGCCCGCCAGGATCCGTGGCCCTGTAACATTCCCTCAATTGCGTCTTCCCGTTCCTCCCCACAGTGGTTTTGAAATCACAGACCTCGTGTATATAAAATATGCAGAACTTGTTTTCCATTCCCCTGCCAGTTTTATATTTTTGGTTTTACAAGAAAAACATTAAAAACTGGAAAGGAGATGTGAGGGCCTGATTCTTCGTTGTGATTCAGCCCAGAGGCTGGGACCAGGAGAGCCTTAGAGGAGGGTGACAGAGCCGGGTGTTCAGGGCTAGGGAGGCCACATGGAAATCAGCTCAGGCCCTGGGTTCTGACCACAGGGATGGGAACCAGTGGCACGTGGCCCCCCCACCATGCGCTATGGTCCTTACAGACACCAGCGTTAGTCCCAGGACTGTGCAGTGAGGTAGGCCTATCCCCATGGACAGGTGGGCAAACTGAGGCTGGGAGGGTGTGGCAACGGGCTTCAGATCCCGGGCCCCACAGTCAGACCACAGTTGGGACCCAGCTCCATCTGACCTGGGCCCCTGCCTGCTACAGTGACTCCTCTGCAGGTGGGAGAACGAGCTTCAAATCTAGTGTCTGGGCTTCTGCAAACAGAGAAAACCCTGGGAGGGCCGGGCAAGCCTGCTGGGGGTAGAGCCCAAACAGCCTCACAAAGCCAGAGGCAAAGGCCGGTCCCTGCAGATAGGCCGGGTGCCAAGAGCAGCCTTTGTCTCAGGAGCCTTGTGCCCACCCTGGAGGACCGAGGCTCGCGTGCGTCTGTCCCCATCCCCCGTCTGTCTCCCTCCAGCATCCAGTATGAGGAACAGGCCCATGCTCCAGGCCTGGGCAGGTGACCTGGATGGTGGCCAGCATCTCACCATGTCACCCTGATCACCTGCTACAAAGATCCAGGGAAGTTCCTGCCTCATCCCCTCTGGAGTGGAACCATGCAAGGACGGTCACGTTTACCACCCTCCCCGTGCTCCCAGAAACAGCCTAGGGAGAGGTCTTCTTGTCCCCTCTGTAGGTGAGGAGGGGCAGCCAGCGTTCACACCCTCACCAAAGGGCCGCCTCTTTGTACCACACGCTGACTTAGGCAGGCAAAGCCAGATGAAAGGCCCAGTAACCCCCTTCTATAAAGAAGGGTCTCTTATAGAAGACCCTCGGTCTCCCCTTTATAGAGAGGGAGACCGAGGGTCAGAGTGAACACCTAGCCACGTGGCGACAGAGCAGTGATGCGTGCCTGGTCCTCCCCCTCATCCGCGCTGCCACTGACGCAGTGGTGCCATGCTGGCCTGCGGGGCTTCCCGGGGATCTGCTCTCTGCCTCCTCCCAGGAGCCTGCTGATGAGGTGCTTGCACCCATGTCCTACCTGCCCCTCCAGACGTGCACTCTGCCTGCTCTGTGTCCAGGGCCAACCCACGGGGGCTGCATTTGGGGCTGCTCCCCTCTGGCTCCGGGCTGGCTCCAGCCAGTGAGGAGCCCAGCATGGGAGGGAGATGGGAGGGAGGGTCCCTGGGTGGTTGTGTCTTCCACTGAAGGTCTCAGTCCAGTCCAGTGGCCCTTTCCACACAGCCCACTCCAGGCTGGGAGCAGCTCCCCTCCTCCCTCGCTCAGGCGTGGAGGGAGTGGGGAATCACTCGAGACACCCTGGCCCACACCGCAGCATGATCCCCTCAGGAAACTCCTGACGACCCTGAGCTGAAAAGGACCATCTTCCCTGCCAAACCCTGTTACTTACTCCCATCCTACAGGCACAGAAACTGAGGGACGGTGCGCCCAGCGCAGTGACTCACGCCTGTAATCCCAGCATTTTGAGAGGCCAAGGCGGGTGGATCAGGTCAGGAGTTCAAGACCAGCCTGGCCAACATGGTGAAACCCTGTCTCTACTAGAAATACAAAAAATTAGCCGGGCGTGGTGTGGTGGTGGCGGGCACCTGTAATCCCAGCTACTTGGGAGAGTCACTTGAACTCAGGAGGTAGAGGCTGCAGTGAGCTGAGATCGCGCCACTGCACTCCAGCCTGGGTGACAGAATGGGACTCTGTCTCAAAAAAAAAAAAAAAAAGGAAAGAAGAAGGAAGGAAGGGAGGGAGGGAGGGAGCCAGGAGGGAGGCAGGGAGGGAAAGAAACTGAGGGACAGTTTCTTTCTGTCCCTCACAGAAGAGGGAGGCTGTGACACAGCCTGTGAGTGGTAGAACTGGGTTCAAACCCAGGCATCGGGCTCCAGAGCCTCCAACTTCACCCTTCACACTGTCCTGCCCCTTGCAGAATCGGGTGACCTGCTCTCACCGCCTCTCAGCCTCTGCCTCCCAGAGTGGCCCAGTCCAAGCCCCCAGCAGGCAGGGACCCACCCACTGTCACACGGCACATCAGGCTGCTGCCTGCCACCCAGGGACCCCTCGCCCCCTCATCCCCTCCCCCACTGATTTTATGGAACTAATTAGGCCGAGGCAAAACCCCTTGAACAGGGATGCGGAGGAATCAATACTGCATGTCACTGTGAGCGATTAATCCACTCCAGATAAGCAGCGTGAAGCTCCGCCATGAGGACTTATTTCTATTAATAATGAAAGGGGCTGAGCCGCAAGCGGGGAACACACAGGGAGCTGGCAGTTGGATCCCATTTAATTTCAGAGAGCAGAGAGAGGGAGAAAAGGAGACAAAGGCAGAGAAACAAAGAGGCCTAGACGGAGGAGAGACGAGTAGGCCTGAGGGGAAGGCACAGAGGGGCTCGGGGGTGGGTCCCGCCGCTGCGGTGACAGTGACGGGGATCTGGAAATGCCATTCCTCACTCTTCTGCCTGGGACTCCGCTGAGCCCCCACTCCTCCTGGCACACTCGGGACGCCCTGCCCCGATGCCCCGACGCCGGCAGGGTCTCCCTCCTAATTGAAAGCGAACGCTGCACCACAGTTCCCAGTCAGGATCCCCGGGGGCTGGACCTGAGCTCCCTCCCCAGTGCTGTCTTCAGCCCTTATTTTAAAAACACCCAGACCAAAGCCCCTCCCAAGCCCTGACCTGCAGCCCGAAGCGCATAGGAGCCTGGCTACTGCCACTGCAGGGCACGGCGATTACCCCCAGACCTACCATTGGGGGCTGAGATTTCTCACAGGGCCTAGAGAGCCCCTAGGGGGCCACGAGCCCAGGACCCCCAGGATCTATAGAGCCAAGGGGCTGAGTCTGCTGAGGGGCCCCAGAGTCCAACCCAGGGCCTAGGGGCAGGGCCCAGGACGGACAGGAGACCATGGCCTCCTTCCAGCCCTGCCACTCCAGGCCATCCCTGCAGTCCTGGCCTCTGTCAAGTTCAAGCTAGATTGGCCGAGCACCCCCACCCCGAAGCCTTCATCTCTGTCTCCATCAGGGATCAGGGCCCTCTCTCTCCCTGTCCCTCCCCTCCCTCTCTGTCCCTCCCCATTCCTCTCTCTCTCTCTGTCCCTCCTCCTCCTCTCTGTCCCTTCCCCCCTCCTCTCTTTCTGTCCCTTCCCACTCCTTTCTCCCTGTCGCTCCCCTTCTCCTCTCTATCTGCCCCCTCCCCTCTCCTCTCTCTCCCTGCACCTCTCCCTTCTCCTTTCTCCCTACCCATCCCCACTCTCCTCTCTCTGTCCCTCCCCCTCTCCTCTCTCCCTGCCCATCCCCTCTCC